ACTAAATTTTGAAATTGACAGACTAACTTTACAGTATGGTCAAACTTTATGTTTGAGCACCAAAATGACAACTGAAAGCTTTTTGTCAAGAAGATCATGCATTTTTTTTCCATACTTGATACTGAGGTAGTGTAACATTAGGCCTACATGTACTGTGCATCTCTTCTTGCTTACTCAATATTCTTTCCCTCCTCAAAAGACATCAAAGTGTCAGTTGTCAGTTGTGTACAAAAATTCTATTTTAATGCAGCATCAGAAATACTACACAGATCTATAGATATAAAGCTATGTTGGCATCCACATAATCATCATCATCATCATTATTAACTTAATGCCAGGACACTGATGGTGTGAGGTTACATCATCAATGTATAATTTTTCAGGCCATTGAATCTCATTTTTTTTTTTTATTTTTGAGTGGGAAAGGCTCAGGGTAAATGCAATCATTCATATTACATGTACATTTCAATACAAAACAGTTTTCCATGGATATGTGTTTTTCTTTCTTTGCAGGGCTGGTACATAGTAACATATGCCCTTGGTATTTACCACCTTAATCTCTTTATTGCATTCCTGACACCTAAAATTGATCCAGCTTTAGAAGAGTTAGGTGAGGAGGACTTAGGTGTGTTTATTTCTTGTTAATTACGTATAATATATAACATGTTTATAGTGGCAGAGGTATGCTGTAGAATGGACAGATTACATGTGCATTGATCGTAAGATTTAGAAATGTCGAGTTTTCAAGCCCTTGCCGGGAAACACTGTATGCACGTGTATATTACAAACATCATGTGTTTGAAGTGCAAGATAAACATGTAAAGACTTCAGAGATTAATACATTATAATTACAATGTATTTGTGTGCAATTTCAATATTTGCAAAAACTAATGACATCAACTCGGAAAAAAAAATTTCTGAGTTGATATCATTTCTACATTTAATATTCTTGTGTCATTTTCTAGTATAATTTTCTGCTTCTAGGTTTTGAAATTCATCCTGCATTATCCAAAAATTGTACCAATCACATATTAAGGCGCATGCCAATGGCAAAAACAAAATACAGTATGGCTCTACCGTGCCATATGGGCTCATATTTTGCACGTCCTCTTTACCCGATGTCGTAAAATAGCATGAATCATAGTGGAATGATAACTGTCTTGTATTGCTGTGGGTAGAAATACTCTTAAGTCACTTTACACTTCAGGAATCAGAGTCAAACCTGACATTTACAACCATTCTATTTGATCTGTCCCTGTTGTTTTGAGATATTTTTTGTGTTATTTTATAGAAGAAGATGGTCCAGAACTCCCCACCAAAGCTGATCAAGAGTTCAGACCATTTATTAGAAGATTACCAGAGTTTAAATTCTGGTAAGTCTTCTTTAGAATGTTTAACTGTAGAATCTGGAAATCTACAATTCTAGATGTCCACTGTACATCAAGTGCTACATATATGTACACTCCATTCTTTGTTGTCTTGTGGTGTCTGACACAAAGGTGCTAGTAAGAGAATTAAGAGATGGGTGTCTCATATGGAAGACTGAAGAGAGCCAAAAAAGGTGAATTAAATGAAAGATTGGATATTCTTGACCATTGAATGGTCAAACATTTCATCAAACAGTGTGATCTTGTTACCTCTCTGGGCTTCCTCACATGCATTTGCTGTTTAAAATGCTTACAGCTAGTATGACTGATAAGAGACACCCTTTGTTTGTTTGTTCATTTGGCCCACCCGTTTCCAATGAAAGCTGACCTGTCCTTTGCTAAACCTCTGGAAAGTAATTTGCCAATTATTCGGGTATCAGCAGCCCTTGATTTAGAGAATCAAAATAACAGCTGCAATAAAGACTACTGGTATTTGGGAAAATAGGACTTTTTTTTTCGTTATTAACAAATTTATATGTGTTTTTTTTCTCCTTGCAGGTATGCAGCCACAAGGGCTGTTGTTATTGCCATAACATGTACATTTTTTGAATTTTTTAACATTCCTGTGTTCTGGCCCATCCTAGTCATGTACTTCATTGTTCTTTTTGTCATTACAATGAAGAGGCAAATAAAGGTGAGTCAAAAAGATGAACATGCTCAGAAACATGATAATATTTAACAAGCAAACAAACAAATAAACAAATGAATTAGTATAGGTAATCGTATGGATGCCAGTACAATCAAGGATTTACACTACAAGTGAGATTTGAAAATTCTCTCCAAATTCCACAAGGCGAGTCTAATAAGCCATATTTGTATTCTCGGTTTTGGACTGGAACTAGCTTGCAAGTGAGGCTAATGTGGGGAGTCTTTTCAAATGCAAATGACATGGATCCATTTTTAATGATATTCCCCCGCGTGAGCCTCATTGCAAGCTAGGTCCAGTCCAATATGAATACGTGAGAATATGAATATGGCCTATTTGGTTGCTTACATGTTTACGCATTTGAACATGGTTACATCTTTACGTATTCATTTACTTTTTGCTTTGAATTCATTTTTGTTTTTGTTTTTTTGCTTTCATTTTTATGTATTTATTTATTTATTTTTTGCTTTCATTTTCAGCATATGATAAGGTACCGATATCTACCATTCACTTACGGAAAACAGAAATACAGAGGCAAGGAAGACAGTGGTGATGTTATGAAATCATAAGTTTTAAAAGACAGAACGTTATTGCTACAAAGATGTACAGTAATATTTTTAGTTATGGTACTGGATTTGTATCTGCGATTGAATGAAACCACTGTAAGTTTTTCACCCAAGTTCATTTGATTTGTATTAATTTCTCATAAGTTTAGTACTCTTGATTCGGGTTAGGACAAGCTTCAGTGGTCAGTTGAGAATTAGAGCTCAGCCCTTCCACGAGGGGTTGTCCATGAAGTTAAGTTATATGCTTTAAGTAAATAAGTCGGACAATTTGTATTTTAGTAATATATGATAGTCGTAACACTATACAGTGCCAGTTGTATGTCACTGCACATGTAGTAAAGGCGGTGCAATTGTATTGTATGTTTATTTTGTCAACCACATTCCCAAACACCAAGAAGAGATGTGAAAATATGAGGTTGAGCAGAGTATTTTTGACAAACTTTGAGTTGTTTGGAAATATGGTCAAACACTGTCTTGACTGTTCTCAAGATAATGATATATGTTCTCTGTCAAAACAAAAACTCCATCATTTGCAATATTGTTGTAAAAATCTATGCTAAATACAATCAGATATCCAAATGCCGTCATGGTCATGATGTCTTTTGAACTTGATGAATTATTTGAGAAATGTATTTGAAAAATCCACACCCAACAATAATATTAAAGAATTTTTGTTGTTATTTTAAAAAAAATACCCAGTCCTTTATTTAAATGTGTTTGTTGTGTCGGTATCTGCTTGTTTGGGAAACACATTCAATCAACAATTTAGGAACTCTGAAGACTTGCCGCAAGCACTGGATGATTGACAGTTCTTGTTCATTTTAAAAAGGAACTGGCTTTGTACATTAACAAATTAACAATAGTTATTACTGTCAGATGCTACAGTTTAAGGCGAATGTGACTTCGTAAAAAAGATATTGCACAAATGTGAATAAAGATTTTCTTTCCAAAAAAGACAGATGATCTCTATAACACACATATGGCTATAAATGGAGAAAAGATAAAGGGATTTTTGGCTTTGACTTAGCTGACAAAATGAATGCGAAGGTCGTCGGTTGAGACATTCCAAAACTGCTTTTCACTTGGTAGAACCAAAGAACAAAATAAGTTATGACAACATTTTAAAACCTTTAAACATTTTTAATACTTCAAGGAATCTTCCTTTGTTTACCACAGAATATAACTTAACGTCAGTTTCAACTGCAAATGATAACCTTGGGTGGGTTCATGAGCTGTAGCCATGGAAACCAGGGCCCTCTCATGGATTTTTCCCAGGCCTTTCTCACTCAGTGGTGAGTGGGAGCCCCTGGGAAGGGCAGCTGGTTTCCAAGGCTATGTAAAATAAGTTATTTTCATTTGATTAGTTAGGAAGAGACTTCTTGCAGTCATTGTTTCATTTTTGGCTTGTCTTTCTTTTTAACTTTATATTAAATTTTTGCGCTTATCTACAAAGCAAGTATTGACAAGAAAACTAACACTTGGAAAATTCCAAGCACTTCTTTCGTCGTTATTCAATTTATCTACAAAACTTACATTAACAATGGTAATCATTAATTAAGTTAGTTTCATTTTTGTTTCAATAAATAAAAAAATATCAACCTTCATCTGATCGCTAACCAGACATGTATTTCCTTTCATAATTTTTGCATAGCAACCAGAGCTATGTTATTGGTATGTAAATTAATCATCCTGAAGCTAAACCCTATCTAGCGAGTTCTTTTTCAGGCAATATTTCACTCATCAAGTTTTCTTTAAGTCAGGCATGTTTAAAACATGAAATGGTAAAATGACAAATGACACTTCGAGTAAGAGTCAATGTGACATACAGGTGTCTGTAAGGGTCAAGCCTTGAATTTGAGAGCTAACCACTATCCATTCAGTGATATTCAGGCTAACCTGAGTGCCATTTAAGCTAACCATAGCGCCAGTTCACCATTTCGTGTTTTAAACATGCCCCTGTAAGTCGGCCTTTAGGATAGGTCATTATCAGCACAACAAAACTCTCTCTTAAATTCTACGGCTTGTAGCATTGTCATACAATAAAGTGACAGCCTCCCAGGAGCTTGCAGAAGCAAAGGAACATGGTCATTTATTTTCAGGAAACAAGGGATGTTTTTTGGATTAATAGGCCATTTTACAGTTGTGTGCTTAGTTACCTGGCCTTTGACTGCAAGCGAGGCTGGAGGTGACCTTGCTTTGATACAGGCCTCTGCTTTTCTCATGTAAATGCCAACTAGTTAGCATAAGAACAACTTGATTTACAAAACAAAAACAGTGAGGTCTTTATCAAAACAAGGTCACCTCCTGCCTCGCTACCATACAAAGGCTAGGTCACTGAACAGACAAATGTAACATGGTCTATTTGAAGGAACAACAGATATCTCTACTATTAATGGGAACTTTGGACAAAAGCTTTAGGCCCTTCAGGGAGCAATGGAATTTACTAAAGGGGAACAAGGAAGAAATTTTGAGAAACCATGTATGAAGCTCTGAGAGGCCTTCAGAAGCGAAAGTGATCATCAGTCTTGTTTCCAGGCTCTTGCTTCTGTATTTTGCATGCAGGGAGACTGGTGAATACAGTAAGGGAACAATTGCCTGGGAAAGAGACTGGGGCCTACCTTCAGTGTGTTATCATTAACTAACGATAATGTCAAACTATTTCACAGGTTGTGATGTAACCTAGCAGTTTGGGTACTGTACAAACCCCTCTTTACACTACAGTGGGTTACTGTAATTTAAATCACTGTTCAAAAGATCTGTTCGATTTCTTGTACAATTTACAAAAGAATTAAGTTGTTGGTGTTGTTCAATGTTTCTGTTCACACTGGAATGTACCTATTCGTCAGTAATATTGTAGCAGCTGAAGACCGTTGTGTTATGCGCTCTGGATGACTTAGTCTACAAACATGAAAGTCCAGTCCTAGCTCTCTTTCTGTCACGCAACGCTACGAGCGTAGCGTTGCGTGACAAAGAGGGGCCCAGAACTGAACAAAGACACACATATATGTAATCATAATGCATCATAGTTTCGATCTTGAAACTGTTGCGCGCAAGATTCAACGAACATGAAATGAATATAAAATTTGCGCACATCATTTTCGACTTGTGTTCACTAACTGAATTCAACATTGCGCGTTGAAGCGAGACAATAAAGAGCTCTTTCCTGCCGTCTAATCTAATAGCAGATCAAGGGGAGAGGCCTGGACCACTTCCATTTTTGTTGACCGTGAAGGGAAACATTTTCGCCAACACATTTTCTCCCTCGATTTCTTAGCGCACTTCTAGATACCGCCACTTCGCCCGGTTTAGTTTTCTTCCCTTTTTTTTCTTTCGAGGGGCATAAGAACTAGACAGCTGTGGCTCGTTCGTCTTGCTTCCTTGATCCGGCTTCTGTCGCCTTTTCTTTACATCAGAACTCGTATGCCCCGTCCCGTCAGAATTGGTACGCGAAGAGTTGCAGCGGGGGACCTCGTCCACCGAAACTTTAATTTCCTTTGAGTCCGGGCCTCTGGACTTCTCACTGTCTCACTCCTACTTCTTATTTACAACGAATTATTTGAAGCTGAAATCAGTCTCAAGATCCTGTGACATGAAAAATGCTCAGAATTATTTAGGAGCTCGTTTTATTCGTTAATGGGCTAAGCTTTCTACATCAAAATATTTCTGAGTGGTCAGAAAACAATAAGCCTTTGTTTTCGTGGACTGGACCCAAATTTTATGCCAACGAAGTTGGGACCATTTCACCTGTCAGGTGAATAACTGAGTAATGTAGCTGACATCAGCTCTGAACAGCAGATTTTCAGTCAAACATGTTTTCAGGACATCAGTACGAGAACATATCACACGTATAATTAATCAAACACAATAACTAAACCTTGGTAACAAGTAATGCGAGTGATTCAATCTGCATGTTTACCTGAGCATGGCACACAACAACTTTTCGAAGCGCCGTCAATAGAATTTCTGCATTGTCCTTTAGGACACTGGGTACGTCTACATTTCGTTTTTCCATTCTGAAAAGAGATAAGATAGTTACGCTGAAAACCTATAGTTATGCAGGGGAATTCTGTCTTCTAGAGCCTCGAATAGAATGACGCAAAGTGGCCTTCGTTTAGAGATGTAAGTGTTGTTCTTTCAAGGGTTCTCTAATTATAACCCTAAGTCTTTGAACCATAAAATTATCGCTTTGAAAATGGTAAGCAAGCTTTTTAAAACGCCAGCCCGAGAAGGGTTATGGCTGACTGAAGGTGGTAGTTCAATAGAGCATTAAAACACTCTATAGGGCGCCGTCCACATCACGCCGGAGGAATTTGAAAACGCAGGTTTCACTCTGAAAATGTATCATATGTTTCCGTCCACATGCTGCACCGCAAGAAATTAAAAACGCACCAATCACCGGTTCTTTTTGGATTTTTGCCCGAGGAAAACTCGGTCAAGGAAATCCCATGATTTACATCGTGACGCCATCGTTTCCGAAAAGCTCCGTTTTCAAAATGTTTTCCGTCCACGCGAAAATAAAAAGTCGGCGTTTTCAAATTCTTCTGGTTTGAATAGCGTTTTCGAAAACCTCCGTTTTTGTGACGGATTAGTGTGGATGGTAGGCCTAACCGTAGAAATAAAGCTGTGTTTTCAAATTCCTTCGGCGTAGTGTGAACGCTGCCTAAGTAGGTGGGGAATAAAAAAAATTCATACAGGCCGATCTTGACACGAGTTCCACTACACTGACACACCCAAGTCAGCACCATCCTTTCTCGCTGTTTGCCCGGCGTTCCACAAATTGAGAAAAACCTCTTACCTCACACTTGCACGTGATACATCTGGAAGGGAGCAGCGGGATAAATGGCTTCCATGTTTGACCGTGTTTGTACTCATTTCCACGAAAGTTGCACCCTACAGATCCAAAAAACCGTAGATATAACGAGCTATGCTATTCGATAACCGCTTCGAAAAAAAAAATTGTCAACAGATTCAAAAGGAACGGATCTAACATGAAATGTATGCTGTACAACCCAAGCAAAATATGCAGCATTCTGTGATTTCGATAATCGATACAGAATGGGACCAATTAAGAGTGGATAAGTACAAGAGAGGTAATCCCCTATATAGACCTTATTGCTAAGGTAATCCCTCTCAAGCTATTTTTAGATCACTTCAGAAATCCCAGGAGTGACGCGGACTTTACTTACCTGGACAGACCAAGCGACTTTAATTCAATAGTTTTCATCCTCTGCGATCATTGCTACATAACGAGCGTGGTGACATTAACCACGGGAGAACTGAACAACAAATCTAAAAATAACCTTGAAGGGAAATAAGGCCTATATTTGGAATGAACTCTCTTATCTTTCGTCCCCTCTTAAACCAATCAATTACATCATTTTATTGGTTCTATGCTTTTAAAAAGCAATGAAAAATATAAATTCATTTTACAAGTCCGATACTACATTTTCGTCTGTTACTATGGCCTTGTCTTCGGGTCTCCATTGTAAATACCCTTGCAAATTGGCCGCTTATATTGTCACTATCAGTTGCTAATGCTACAGATGATAATGTGAGCGTCAGTCATTTTATGTTACCTTTTTTCGGGACTTTGCTGTCATCTGATTGCTCATCCTCTTCATCTGAATAGAAATGAACGAAGTGTGTATCTAAGAATAGCTGTTACATTTATCACAAGTGGCCTTAGAACAAAACCAAAACTATGTTGTGTTTTCGTCTGAAAAAAAAAGCTGCAGTGAAGCAGCGTAGCAGCTTTATTCAGAATAATGTCGTCCTAAGATAAATAGCTCCAAAACTCATGCACGTAAAGTAGTCTTAAATTCCTTACCAGGACAGCGCATACAGCAGTCTGTCATGCGCATTTTGATCGGATTTTTGCACTGAAGATCTGGACATTTAACTTTGGTGCATGTTATCTCCTCTGATTTTGCCTGAAGAAAAAAATAGAACATTAGGCCTAAGATATTGGTGTCATTAAAGTGCAACCTCAAAGGAGGCAAAGAAGAAGGAGCCTGGAAACGAGGTTGATTAAAGCGCAGTCTTATAGCAGTAGCTCGTGCGCGCGCTTCTGCTCATTTGTTCGGCCGCTTACCAGGCAAGTGCAGGCGTGACATCTCATGTAACCAAACGGCTGAACAAACGGATGCCACACAGCTCCTGCTGGGTAAACTTTCCTGTCTCTTTTCACGTAGCATCCTTTCATGGATGGTCTATTCTTCTTCTCGTAGTATATGACAACTTTTTCCTCAATGGCTGAAAAAGTATGAAAATTATTTCTAGTTAATGCATCGGTTAGTTTAACGACACTTTGATGGCTTGGTATCAGGCCGGCTTATTGATGTTTTTAAACGATTTACCGATAGGGGGCTATATGCTTCCTCTGATGTAATATGAATAACCAACCCATGGCAAATAGTGCAAAGGTCAAATACCTGGACAAACCGGGCAGCATAAATGAGGTAGTAATATAGGCGCCTCTGTGCAGTTTAACCGCTGACATTCGAGTGGAGAACAAACGATTTCGGAGTTCTACAAAGAATAAAAACAGGAAAATCAGCATCAGAGAATCCGGGATTATTATAGAAAAAAAAGAGTCCTGTAGTGGCCCTTCAGGCCAGAGCTTATCCCGATTTTTAAGTTTATAAGAGACGCAGCAAAACTCAACTGAGGTTAAAATACCTCACAAGTACACGAGGTACATTTGTCATCTTCAGAAATCCAGGTCTGCCCGTTATAGTAATCTTTGTTGCCATGGAAACACCAGCCATCCATCTCGACTCCCTGCTGTAAATCGGGAAACCGCTTCCTACAAATATCGCTGTTGACCATGACCTGGCTCCTCAGCTCACCCTGCGGGACTTCCTCACTGCTCACTTGCAAATAAACCAATCCGCGGACGAGATTGTCGAGGAACACAAAATCGAGGTTGCGTGCAAATCCAGAAACCTACAAGAGTTTCAGGATTAGCTGAGATGTTGTTTATTGCAGTGCGCTTTTTAGAAGTTTGCAGAATCGCAGAGTTTCAATGCGATTTCGCGCAAGAAATTTGACTCAGGTAGTTAGTCACCTTCCTGAGCACTTAGTGTTGTGTTTAAATCCTCAATTAACGCTTCCGGCGTTTATTTTTTATACGAGATTCACCGTTATCTACTTGAAGCTGTAAATGTTTGTAATGGACCACTTAATCACTACAACCAACGTTAAAAATTAAATTTGGCACGTTGCTCTTGAATAATCGGTTTTTCATTGAACATTTATGACGAGACTTAAATCGATGTGGAAAACGCACTGATTTTTAGTTTCTTTCGTACTATGAAAAGCGTCAAACCATTCAGTACAAATAAGTTTCGCAAGGCTTTAATTAACAGCAAATGTGAGTTAATTGTAGCGTCTCGTTTAAGTCTGAAAGGTTTAAATACTCTTTCAAGGCCAGCGCCAAAACTTTCGAGGTCGTACATTTTTATATTATGTTTGCAGATTTGCGCGAGTGTTTTAGAGATCCGGTATGAAATCGAGTGAGAAAGTGGTCAAATTGCTTCAGCATAACGCAATGGTTTATCTATCAAACAGCGACTTTTTTTGCTGTTTGGCCATAATGCATAAAAAACCGCGCTTAAGCTCACTTGTTTTATCTGCAAGTAGCTTAAGTTTAATGCATCTGGTACATGCAACGCACCGTTTCTCCTTCAAAGGACCGTAAGAAGTGCACGTGCTCATTATACGGCTGAGGAACTTCGCCATAATCCGCAAAACCCTGGAGTTCCGCAGTCATTAAGTTCCGTCGCCCGCGGTCCATGCCGCTGAACATCAGGTGATAGTGTAACGCGCAATTTTTGTCTAGTGAGAACCAGGCCTGCCCGGCGGCACCCGTCTGAATCCTGGGGACCACTTCGTTACCAGACAACATAATCGGTGGATCTGGGGGAAGATAAAACGTTATCATTACAAAATAAAGCTGAGTCATTTTTCTCACAGCTTTTTTTTTAATTCTTACCATGATATGACATATGGTGTCCCCGGAAGGTAAACTGCTTTAGTTGCCCGTGTAATTCGCCAATCGTGTTGGCCGTCGTTCGAACATTGATGAACATGTCTCCACCGAAAAGCCAGCAGATTTCTGTAAACGATGGTCTCTCCCAAACGCCTGTTACCTGAAACGCAATAATGAAAGGGTATTTACTGCAGTCATAACCGGCACGACAATTGCTGTATCGCTTATGTTTCACTCCCTCGTGGAACTAAGGTCGGATCCATATTGTTGAGACACAGCTGCCGAGGACGTCAAGAGTTTAAAGCAAAAATGAAAGAAGATCATTTCCGAGTTACCTTGTACCTCTGTTGCAAAACGAGTCTCCGTGCAAAACCTTTCATATGAAAATAAGTTTGATTTGCATGAAAATGAGCCTGTAGGCGGAACTCGTTTTCATGTGAATTCCGTTTAGCACGAAAACTCGTTTTAACACAGAAGCAAAATTAGGGCAACTCCGAAATGGCCTGTTAAATTGGGCGCGATTTCTACGTGTTTCCAGCGGGGTGGTCAGATGATAACTTTTAGTCGTATCCCGCGCCACTTTCAGGCCAGTTTCAAGTTTATTTCTACACTTGATTTCACATGTCCACGACTATAGCTTGTAACTATTTCGAACAAGACACAGCCGAAATGAACTTATGTGTAGTCATATTCGCCCGTCTGATTGGCCAGAGTTACGAGTCTGCTTCAGCCAATTATTTCTGTCAAGTCTTGGCTCTCAGACAGAGTAATATTTGCAGTCTATCACGGTCTTTGAGATATACTTGAAGAAGCGAAGCGAATTCAATTACCTATTTGAATACCATGTCTAATATCAAAACACTTAAATAAGTTACTTCCATACAAAGATGTACTTTAGTCAATTACTCGCTCAAATTTGTCAACAAGCTAACCTTGGCTCGGCCGTATTCATCAGCGGTTATAAGTCGAGAAAGTCTTTTAACGTTTTGCCTGCGGTTTGTTGCTTGAAGACTGATCTGCGTCACATTATGTATAAGTCCCGACAGAAAAATCTGCAAGAAATAAAACGTATACCATATAATTAACATCTTGCATGTCTTAGAAAAGTTGTTAAAAGCATGAAGAAGTAATAACACTCGAAAGGCTAATATTGAAAGCTCAGTGCAAGGGTGGTCCCTGTTCCCGTTATGACTTCCAGTTAAGGTGATCTTTTTGATTAAATTTCACTTCGGTGCACTTCACAACTGCTTTAGAAACTATCCGCTTATTCCGCTTTTCCTGGTCCGCTACCCTTTTTGCTCTTCTTTGCATCAAACCACAATTATGAATGAAAACTAATGCTGTACAAAACTGCTTCAAAAACCATCCTCCTTTTTTCCCGCTCCCCTTCCCTTTTTGCCCTTCTCTGTATCAAAACACAGATCTGACTGAAAACTAATGTCAATGGTAAAACATAAAGACGGAGCCAGGGAATTAGAAAGTTGAAACATATATCGGATGATCTTAACCGTTATAATCAAGTGCTAAAGTTTTGTAACCAAGACATTTCAAAATAAAGTTACTGTAATTTATTTCTAATTACCTGGTAGTGTATTTTACCGTTGTTAATGAATTCAAAAGAGGCATAGCCGCTGGCTCCTGTCATTGTCGGCCTAGGGGCTTCTCGGCCAGAAAGCTGACAAACGATGGCTGAAAGAGAAAAGCAAACACAGTTTTTATTCTGTTAATCTGTCCTCTTCTTTTTTCGGTTTTTGACTTTCATTCTCAAAATCTTACATTTTAGCCGTACCGATGCAAAATCAGTTAACCTGATTGGTTGTTACCGGTACGTGACTACGTTCAGCCACCTATGATTGGCCGATTGTTCTTCTTGTTAAAGCTTGTTGGGCCGACGTTTTGCTCTTTTAAAATCAAAGGTACTTTGAGCTGATCCCGCGAAATATTTTGCCATGATTTGAATTTTACAGTCGACACATTTTCAACAATTACAAAGGCTACTGATAAAAGCTACTTTTTGAGTTCATAGGGTTATCACCTTGACAATGGTTAAATTTAAAAAAGGATAGCGTATTTTATTTATTATTTTATTTACCAATCCATTACTCACTATTGCAAGTTCTTTTGATGCCTATTCGACCAGTGAGTTTAGTTGATTGGTCAGCGGTGTTCAGTATCATTGTGATGTCTAAATTACCACGTGACAGCCACTTCAGAGCATGCTGAGCTGGATTTGCCCATGACGTTTTAAAAACCGAATTCTGTGGGAGAAAATGGTAATATCTAATTTGATTTCTGAATACCTGCAAAGCTAATTGTTAGCTGGTTGGGCTTGCTACTTGCTTTTCTGAATTAGGTTCTTTTCTGAGTTAGACTCTTGAGGGTTTCCTCAGAAAGGAGTTCCTGTTACCTTCTATAACGAATGAGCTTTATGCAATTCGGTTTGAAGAGGAATTATTGTTAAACAAAAGTACAAAGAAAACCTCGATGAATTGTCTAACTAACTAGAACATCCTGATATCGATTTGGTATCATATCATTCAGTTGTCAGCTAGAGAATGAAGGTTAGCCAGTTTTAATAACAAATTTTGCATACTGCCGTTTGCTAATTTAAATTTAAATTCTAAGTTAAAACCATAAAGAAATGCCTTAGGGGAAACAAATATTTTTCAAGACCTGTGAAACGTTTGTGAAACGTCTTTCTGTACGCGTAAGGTATTAAGAAATGCCCAGTTGTCTGGGTGAATAACTAAGGCCCCGGACCCAAAAATACGTTTTTAAAGTATCCCTTTTCGTCTCAACCAAACCGAAGCACTATATTTTTGCCCGCGCCAGCGTTTTCGTTTTGTTTTCACCTGTCCACCCTCATACGTTTTCATTTGAAAACACCACTTTTTGATACGGTTTTGGCTACCGTCCACACAAAACCGCCCGAAAACGTTGCTGAAAGGGACAGTTTATGACGCTTTTTTCGTCACCGTCTTCAAAGCCTCCGTTTTCACCTACCACAGCACGGAACGTTTTCAAAACTACGCATTTTCAAAAGACTCCACTTTTGAAACCGTTTTAATGTGTACGACAGGCGAAAATGCATCAAAAACTACGCGTTTTCAAATGAAAGCACATTAGTGCGGTCGTGGCCCGAATAAAAAGCAATGGAACTAAAGGCTATGAATTACTCACCTCTTGCTTCACTTGTGACGTGCTGATGACTTTCACAACACGAGCACCTTTGTTATTAGTGGGCGTTCTTACTAATTTGATGGTAACCTGAGTTGCTGAACCTGTGGGAGGGGGAAGAAAAACATATTAAACGTTACAATGTTCTTTTTCTATCGGTGTTTAGAGTTCTCTACCTCCACCCAAATACCCAAATACCTTTAAGCACGTGATTCCACCCCATCCCACCCCACTGTCATGCTGTTTGAGATTTCACCCCAAACAACTAGCTAAAGTGTCACATCCCACCCCATCCAGCTAATGTCGAATGTATCTTTCCACCCCACCCCACCCTACTAACCTACAGTGTGAGATCCACTATAACGAAGATATATCCTTAGAAGTTTTCCGCTCTTGGCCAAGTCGAAAGATGCCAGAGCACTGGATGTCTCATCGTCAGATGACAACAACGCCTCAAAGCTCTCTGAAGAAAAAGAAAAGGAAAAAAGGTTTAAGAACTTTACTTAAACAAAATGATTTATCGTTCGTGTTTTAACAGATTTTGGTCACGATATTCATTAACACATTTTCTGCGCTTTTCAAAAGTAGCTTGATATCGAAGAAATCTCAAAGCATTTAACATTCCCAAGTGGAAAACATCATTGGGATGAAAAGAAAACAAAAATAGGAGCAAAAATGGACATAGAGTCTGAAGACTGCAGGGGAGGGTTGCCAGTCGACCAGGTACGATGAACTTAAAAGCTTGCACTTTGAAATTGCAGTTTGCAAAAACTTTTGTAAGGTGCGTGATCACAGGGTTGTAGCTTATCAAACGATCTTGTAATCACTTATGTATTGCTGCTAATTATCGTCAGTTATAGTGCCTCGGGCCACATGAATTCTTCCTTCTCCTCCTGATTAATATAACAAAACGTTGTACTTCCACTAATACCAACACAATAACACGGCGTGAGTCAATGATAACTAATCAAGCCACTATCGCAAAAGACACGGCACAACACTTATAAAGGCCTTTTTCACACCAGAATGTCGTCTTCCAATATTTCTGCTCACGATCTCACGATAACGGACATCTCTTGGCTCAAAGGCCGCTTTATAAACGCCATTTCGAAGACAAACAGTTTTGTTTAGAGCCTTGTTGTAAAGGAGCCCAACGATAATTGCCATGAGTAGACTGGCGTTTAATTTTATTGGTTGTGGATTCACTCTAGGCAGTTTCCCAGTCGCATCCTTCGTGTTAAATTTCTATTTTCATCTCTTGTCGTGTGATAATCTATAGCCTAATTATACGGAAGCCACAAACATTTGTGTGGCTATTAAAACTACTTAAGAGGTAGACAACGTTAATTTCCGGTGTTTTCATTACGTTATGTGCCTTGAACAGGCTCCGCCATTGGAAATTGAAAGAGAAAACTATCGAATCACGAGCCGTAAGCGAGTGTCTTCACTGTTCCGTTTCAAAATTCTCGTAAGCGTGAACGAGTGTTTCAAGATCTCTTTTGAAATAATAGGATAATTTTCTCCTTTAAAAAATAACTCGGTACTGTCTCAGTAGCACCAATTCGCATGGAAAATTTCTGGCTGGTTTTCCAGTCTACCTTTAATTTCCCCTTGTTCACCTTTACATATGAAGTGAACAAATGAATAAAGCTATACTTCTCGGCTTCCTTGACAATAAACTTACCTTTCGAGTAGGATTTGTGCAGTACAATGTCTCCTTTTAAACCTGCTGCTTGCTGGCGTTTGAGCTTCAATACGAAACTAATTTTTCCTTGTTTGAGGGATTCGATCTGCTTGTTATTCAGTTGATTCCATACAAGGCATACCTAGAAAGAGAAGGCAGGGTGCAAATTGTTAGATTCTAAGAATCTACTCAAAACTTCTTCTAACTACATTGTACACTTTTCTTACAGAATTGGTTAGGAGATTTGATCAGCAATGATTACCATGCAGGGACGCGAAAGCAAGTTAGCAAACTGCTTATAGCGGTATGATTTCGAGATGAACAAAAATCATCCAGGTTATAACAACAACGAAAATAATGGTTGAATTTTATAGAACGGTACTCGGCAAATGGCAAGAATGCTTTAGGAAGTTAGGACGCTTACTAACAGCAAAGATGAAAGTGGATTACAACATGCATAAAACCTCAGAACAAATCTGTAGCATACAGCTAATAAAACATCACTGACCTGGGATCCATTTATCGATTTGCGTTGAATGTTCATCTCCTTAACCACCGAACCTTCTGTATCCATAAAGGACGCCATGCGAAGTTTCCTTTGCCTGGAAATTCAAGACAAATTAAAATCGTTTTTTTCATTTCAAAAACAAGTTTTTATCGTCAAAGATAACTTTTATTCCTTACCCCTCATAGCGAATTGAAATGCTGAGCGTGTTCCGCACAAGTGTGAAGTGCGCACGCCCGAGACCGTTTTGGCGGGAAACTGAGGCTCCGGGTGTCGTCAGCAACGATATGAACTCTGAAAAAACAAAACAATACTTTTACTTTTAAAGCATTTTGGAAAGGTCACATGTAATATCAAGTGTTATTTCAAGGTAGTTAGATCCTAATTATTTTACAGTAGAAGAACTAAGTAAAAGATTTACAATGTTTGCCTCACCGTCCGGACAGGACGGACAACAATGTCCTGGTTCGACCTTAGGCCTCGCGCACGCGGTTGTTGGACAGCGGTGTCGTATGTTACGACATGTCACTTTTCCTGTTGTCAGTATGTTTGGGATCTGGGACGAGCAAGAATTAAAGATTTCAAATTAGATAGGCATATTTTAACCAATGAGGGGCCGATCAACCAAGCTAACCGACTAGAATCGAAATGATTTAATTACTGGACGCTTGCGAAAAAAAAAGTCTCTTTTACCGACAACTAACTAAATGTCTTACAACAACGAATCTTTGCGTGTTCGAAACGGACTCTTTAAAAAAATAAACACAAAAAAAACAGCTGTTTGCAAAGAAAGTCAGTTAATTTTCTTCTGTTTGCATTCCCTTTGGACTTGTTCCCTGTCTGAAACATGATCATCTGACAGCATCAAAGAAGTTTAAAACAAATTTCTTCATTCTGAACCTAAGATGCGTATTTAAATTTCAGATAAAATCATTCTCTTCCTTGTTCTTTGCGTGTGGTAACTGAGGAATCTTTTTGTTCACTCGAATAAGTTTTGTTTGCGGTCCAACGACTAATCAGTTCAACAAATAAGGCCAAATAAGTGTTAGTCTTCTTTTCGTTATCAAATTGATCTACAAAATACTTTTCTCAGTGACAGAAATTTCTAAACTGCTCTTCCACAAGTCATTGTAGAGAACTTCAAATGGCTTCCTCAGTCTCGTAAAATGCGTAAGACCGTTTCGCGCTCATGCCGGGAGTATAAGTTAATTACAAAGTCTTTTTTTGAATAACATACAAAGCCTTTTCTCAATGCTTGTGCTAGGGATTACTTTAATTGGTGATTGAATACTTATCCAAACAAATAAAACGCTGTGCAGTTGATATGAAGTGAGAACAAAAGAGAGAAGGAGTTAGCGTACAAGTCACTTCAATTCATTAGACACTATGTGGGAGATGAACGACACAATCGCTTGTTAATTGCATCATCGCCAATACCTAAAACCGATTAAGTTCCACTTCAAACTGGAGTTGAAAAAGCTCTTTAATGCTGCTTTCTGTGGGGTCCGGTTTTTGAGTCGGCAAGAATGATAGAATCTATCCACTTGAAATAAAAAAGCTGAGGGGAGTGGCTTAAGGAGACTTCGGTCTGAACAAATAAACTCTTCTTTTATGAGTCTAAACACGCAGCTAATCTCTTCATTTACGATTTATTCAATTGCGGATCTAGTTTAAGCGAAGGAACATTGAATGTTGTACCTCAAGAAAAAACCCAACAAAGTGCGTGTAAAACCCAAGAAAGTACGTGTTTAGTGAGTTACCCTATTGCACGTGCATATGAGGCAGAACATGACTCCAAATGGGGTAATGTCCGGATGCCAGCTGTCACCAATATCGTAGTGCAGAAACCCAAAGTTGCAGCCTGTCGAAAGAAGACGAATTGTTATCATATTACTTACACCTTACTTGAATGCCGCCTTGTTTTAAAGGTTTCGTTTAATAAACAATTGCGCATTAGCGCTACGATCTTTCCTTCCTAACACTAACGTCTTTTGTTGGCTAGATTAGCTTAGATTAAAGAGATAGCTAACTGATTTCATGGCACTCAATGGTTTCAAGCACTTTTGTGATACAAGACCAATCCAATAACATCGCGAAAGACTCTCCACTTTGTTTTCGTGAAGGAATGAGAAGGATTTTTAGCCTTGTAGATCATTGAATAGAATTGCGATGTTTTAAGGGTGCTAGTATATGGCGCTCAAGTACAAAAAGACGAGTTCGGATACACTTCACAAAGGTCTGTCCAATACCAGCTAAAATTATTTCATAACGTTTCAAGACACTGCTATTTCTAGCTCGTCTAAGTTGCTCATATATCAAAGGTCGAATTAGGCCATTCATACGAAGTTTTACTGTGAGAAACAACCCGATTACTTTTGAAACACTTGCTTGCCTGTTTTCAGGTATTGGCGCTAAGAGCCCGTCTGGGCTAGGCGCCTAATTTAAAACTTTGAAGTCCGGGAAATTTCACGCCATTTTCATTTGCTCAATGGCGCGTGCTATAATTTACGAGATGGCTAAAATTAACTGAACTTGAATGCGGAAAAGAAATTTCTACCGCGCGAAATATTCGCTGGAATGTGGGCAAATGCGGCCGCAGAGCTTATAACTTAGGAATGACGTCTTTGTCGCCGTCACCTTCATCCGCTTTCACTTAGTGTAAAATTTTTCAAAGTCTGTAGACGTTGCTAGAAAAGAAAAAGGAAAACTCGTTCAAAAAAAAAAAAACTGAGCACTATGTATTCTGCGTTACACAGTAATAAAATTAAAACCGAATTTGTGACTAGTCTGACAAAATTCCACCGTCCAACACGAGTTGCCATAGTTTGTTATGTTTAACTTTTAGTTGTAAATAAAGGACACAGAACGTGCCCGGTGATTTCTCGTGGCGTGTTTGACATATGACTTGAGGTAAGCGGTAACATTTCTGAAGTGACTGATAATGCAACGTATAAACACGATCCCACGTTTAGATTCACTTCTAAACCGTTCCCTCAACACAGCAAAGAATTGGCAGTGATGGTGGTAGAATCACAAGTAAACTGACGTTTAACACTGAACTCACCTCCAGCCTTGGTAGATACGTGTTGATATTCACTAGCAATCGGTCTCAAAACTAATGTTTCGGAATCCGACGCCGCACCGCATTGGGCCACAAATAATAAAATCAAAATTGCCATTCCTAAGAAACACATCACGCGTCCCATCGTAGCGAACCTCGACTCAACACTGGTCGCTGGTTCACAGAATACAAAAGCGTGAGAAAGTGAATACGTCACAATCTTTGCCGACAACCCAAACAACCTCACGCCAACTTGAACAGAAAACAAACAGGCACCAGGGACAATATTTATTATTTTCATTGTTCTATAGCTGGATTTGCTTGTTTCCAGCTCCCCCCCTTGGACGTATTTGTCCTTTATAACCTAATATCGTCACTTTACCATTGACTTGTGATTTCCTCAGATTAATAAGCTAGATTGCACGTGATTGAAAGTGAGTGACATCGGCGAGGCCACTCCACTTCATGTACACCCCGATATCACCGATTCGCGTGGTTTGAACACTCAAACTGAGGTTCGGGCGCCTTTAAGTAACCGATGCTTTCTCGACTCTGCATTCCGGGCTTATTTTTTCGCAAAGTTTGTAGTCAAGAGTCTGTGGTTCCGCTGGCACGATTTATCAGTGTTTAGATAGAATTATATTGCTTGTTGACTCAATTAGCCCAATTGTTCTTCTAATAATTGTTTTGTGGCTGACAAACGATCACAGCGTTCATTGAAATGCGTTGTCTCTCTGCACATTCGTTCGATAATCGTATCCCACAATAAAACTTCACACTCTCCCCGACAAAAGTAAACAATTGCGCCGCGGAGGTCTTTTGGACAATGAAGAAACAACCAAATTCAAACCTTTCATCTTGTTTTCATAATATTGACGCGTATTTTGAAAACATTTTTATCGTGTTAAGCGATTCGAACCCAGCAAAATCCTTGTTTAGTTTTCTTGTCAGACCTGCCTAGGGGTTTTGCTTAAAAAGGTAGCATTATGTTATTAACTTTTTTTGTAGTTTTGCCTTCCAAAATCCACCTTATTACCTTGAAAACGAGTTTAATTTTATACAACTAAGCCATTGACTCTGCGGTTTGCGCGAAAATTGATTAGTAATTTGTTAAAAAACTAACTCAACAGCTCTTATTCACGGTGTCGACTCATCTCTTTGCTATACAGCTCAAAAAAGTTCAATACAAACCGAAAAGCGGCAAGTCACTGTACAGCGAAAGATTTTGACGTACGGCGTGTTTAGTGTTGGTTCGGTATGGGAGGAATTTTTCCCGAGTCGACTTTAAGGGTGCCGGGTCGGCATCTGGGTTCTTTTGCACGTCACAAACACGAGACCCTGAAAAGTGGACGACTCCGGCTTACGTTTTGGAAGACCGCTTTAAGATATTATTGGCCTCTCTTGGGAGTCGAGCAAAACAGGTTTTTCCAGAACAAAGTGCGGAATTTGCTAAAAAGAAGACATTTTTGTTGTAGGGAACGCCGATACTGGTAAAATAAAACCTGCTGCGGATTTCCCGCCTGCAGAGGAAACAATGGCCGCGTTAGATCAAACTCTTGGTGTGTGCGTCGACTAATATGCGTACTTAAGACGCTAAAAACCTGATAAAGGCTTTGCTCTTTGAATTGCCCCTCCTTCCAACTTAGATTCAAGTGTTGTTTTTGTGGCCGGCGGAACATCTACCACGGCCAGGCGCTCAAGAAGAGCCGGGTGACTGACTCAGCCATAAAAGCGATCACTGACGATATAACATTAGCATATAAACACTTCATATGTGAAGTGCCTTGGCGTCTAGAAGCTGTATGCTAGGACACGGATAAGAATCAGTGAAAATACCGCCATTTAAATTGTTTTCGCATACTTGCGACCTGAAAGAAAGTGGAGCTTTTCGCATCGAGTGTGAAAAACGGACTATCGCTGCGGTCAATTTGCACAAAAAGAAGAGTTTTGTCTGTGATGTTCCCAGACTGGCTCTTAAAACGATATAGTGAAAATTCCATAGTTTATTACGTAAACCGGATGATAACTCTCTTATCTAAGCAATTGTTCGAATCAGTCTTGCTTAAAGACACACCCACGTGTACAAAAAAGATATCGGACCCAAATTTTGGCAGATTTACGTCTTTAACGTGTTTTAGAAGTACAGGGTCTTTTTAGAATCAATGAGTGAGTAATTCATTGCTTTATTAGTAACGTTTGTTCGTAATAAAGACCTTTGGAAAGTCCCAGAAACACGTAAAAGAAACTAAGATAATAAATCAGAGATATTTAGCAAGCATCTTGTAGTGTTTAATACAGGTCCACTGAGAAACAAGTGCTTTATTTAAAAGAGCTTGTCATCATGTTGTTTTTCTTTTGTTTCTTTTCTGGGACTTACATAGCATACTAGCATGTCGTTATCCTGGTAACGTTAGGTTTTGATCTCCGTGTTTGACGACATGTTTAAAACAATATCGTATTATTTGTGACTACGCAACAGCGATTATCTACAAAGAAAAGTTATTTTGGATATTCTTTAAGATGTGATCACCAATCGTTTTAATGGGACTCTACAAGAGGTATTTAGCATCTAATGGTTTTTAAATTTAGAACCATAGTTCTAAAACAAAGGATGATATGTTTTTTTTTCTTTTCACAAGGGATACCCGTTTTTGCACTTATGGAGTTATGTGGACAGTATGTGTGTTTAGCAAATCAAAGCACCTCCGGCTTCTATCTCTTTCAGTGACGCACAGAATCAAAGATATCCATGCAGAGATGAAAAGAAACATTACAGAACCTCAATCGTCTTTGCTAGAGAGAAAACAGTCTTGTAAACCAGTAAAACGGTTGGCCCTGACAACGTATAAAAGTTGTCCCCGAATTCTGCTGCTAGTGCTTCTAGCAGAACAGGCCGTCTCAGAAACCGTTCTCGGTAACGAAGAATGAATTCGTTGTCAGACTTCGTGCAGAATAGCACACAAAGATAATCAACTCCTGTAGAGGAATGTACCTGAGCTATTTGTCAACGAAACAGTTACATTTTACGAGCGCTGCCGGGGGCGGAATTTATCCAAGATTATCACTAATGGAACATTAATCGGTTTTGGTCGATTTGCCTCATATCTTTTGCAAATGGTTTTATTAACCGATATACTGCACAAAGTAATACAACAGACATTAAAAAACAACGGGCCGAGAAGGATTTCCTAAACGTCCCTTAACTCTACACCAAGGGAGAACCTAAGAATATGTTAAAGAAGTTAGGTTACGAGTTTCAATAGACCACAAATGTTTATGTAATAAAGGTCATTTATCATGCTATTGTCAGAAGCATATATGATATAAAAATAAGTTTTATACTTAATTAAATATCACTAATGGAAAGTAATTCATTGCTTAGTTGTATCCATGGTAGTGTTACTTTTGTTCTATTATAAGATATTTTTGCCTAAGAGCCGAATTCATGGGCTTAGTTCGCGGATTTGCATCTACAGCGTGATAAAAATGGCAACATTACGTCTGTCCTTCGCCGCAATGATTTATAAGTTTTAGCAGCTTTTAATGTAGATGTTTTTAATCTTATTTAGTGATTTGGACATGGAACTTAAAAGTTCTTCCTAAGCAACTTGATTCATAAACTAAATTTGCGCATTACGAATTGACTGTTTGCGAATGTTGCTCGCGAATTCTTGATAAATTTGTTTAGAGATAGTTTTCATTACGGAAGCTTTAAGCAAAGTACCCAAATTACATTACAATAGAAACATAGTAACTAGTGGCTGAAACACGATGATCAGTACACTAGCTGCAAGTCGCTTCACTGAGTCGCAACAAGGGAATCGTCCGCTCGGGTTATTCAGAACTCACGGCCTCGCCATCTTTCTCTTTGTTTCTGCAGCAGTGGCTTCGCTCATGAGGGAGTTTAATTGGGCAACTACGACGGCGAAGCCGAGGACAATGTCGATGAAAAAATGAATTTATACTTTACTTACGAATCTCGCGGTACTCCTACGTCATTTACTTTGTTTATCAATGTCAAAACTATCACAAACGAAATCAGGAACACAGCGATAAATTTGAAAAGAAAATTCAAAAAAATTATCCGTCGTTGTTCGCGTTCTCCAGACAACGTAGAATTCAGTAGTCATTTCTTGTTGTTGTTTTGCAGAGGACGGTCAAGAAATGTACCAAGAATTATAACGCACACGCACAGCCTTGCATTGCTCATTAATCTTTTGTTTAGCGACTTCCCCTTTCCGTCGTGGTTTTCTTTTAAACCCCGTAAATATAATAGAGAGCTGAAGCAATGACGACGGCGACCCTGTAGACAACGCCTAGTCATAAATGAATTTATATTTTACCTTCGAATTCCACAATTGTGCGCCTCTTGGTCTTAGAACTTGCTCAAGCTAAATATGTAATGTTAGAGTTTAATTCCAAATGATAATACTAAAAATTAGCCGCCTTCGTTTGCGTTCTCCAAAATACGCAAAAATTAGTCATTTCACGTTGTTGTTTTGCAGAGGACGACCACGAAATGTACAAAGATTTATAACGCACGTGCATAACCATGGTTTCGCTCATTAAACCTTTTGTTTGGTGACGTTCTCGTTGCCGTCGTCGCCGTGGTTTGCTTACGATATTCCCATCAAATTGATGACAGTTAATTTCCTTCTGCCATGTCGTGGGTGGGCAAGATGAAGGTTCTTGCGAGTTTCTTCCTGTGGTGTCTTGTCGCAGCATGTGGTCACTTTGTTTCAGTCAAGTGTAACAGCAACGTCGTTGTAGTGGGTTTCTCGCCCACTAATTACATGATGCTACCCGTTTTCACGTCTACAACCTGGAGAAAATAGGAAAGTGGCATTTACTAAAACAAACAGCAACTGAAACGAAACAAACTTAATCCGAAAGAAGGCGAGTTATGTTATGAGTACATAACAGGAAGTTTTTATACAAGGTGTACCCAGTACTTACTTATACTGGAGGTACGTATAATGTTATTTTCTTTTTCTCTATCATGCTTTGAATGAACCGCTTATTCATCTACGTGAAGGCAAGGGCCATTTGGCAATGCCGTTACTTGAGAGATTTTCGCGTTGATATTTGCCTTAACAACCACAGACGACTGATAAGAATTATCCAAACCACAGTAATAATTAAAATTCTTCACAATTATATTCTGATGCATTTTACTAACCTTTACAATGTACTTTCTAGGACTTTGTTCTAAGGGAGATATGTTTTTATAATTAACAAACGTAACTCGAGTTCCTGTTTCAGTTAAATCAAATAGATGAGCAGTAAGTAGTTCACGTTTCATCTGACTCGTCCTGTCAAATAAACTAGGCGGCAGGAAAATTCTGCTTGTTATTGTGGTTTTCGCGAAATTGCTGCGTTGTCAACTATTTTTCTCTGCAGCATACGCAACATTTCGCCTCGTTCGTCTCTCCGTGTAGCCGTGACTATTTAAATGTTATGTTATCTTTTATCGTTGGCATTTTATTCGTGTAATTAATGTCATTTATATGGGAATTTAGTACGCATATTTTAACAAATAAATCGCTTTGTTTTTGTCGGTAATAGCAACGGTGTGTGTTGAAAATTTAGCCCTACCGGCTCAGTTTTGCCTTGTTTTTTCTGTTCTTTTCGACTCTTTGGAAGAAAAAAGACGGGAGCTAGCCCTGAGTTCCACTAACAATGCTAATTTGTGTGATATTTTCATTCCTATCTTATCTGAGGGATCAAATATATTGAACTTAGTTTTCTTGTAGTTAAAGAGTGTTACATGTGATAAAATGGATCGACAAAGAGGATGGAGAAGGGGGGAAAATTGCTGCACTTAAGTTCTTTCGGGAGGCCGGGATGGTGTGAATCTGGCAGTTAATCTTCTGTCACTAGCACAGTATCTGGATTTTCATACTTTCAAGTAACCCGTTAAGCCCAGCTATTCTCACCTCACTAATCTTGTACACTTTTCCTTGATAACAAAGAAAATATTTTTCCAAAACATATCAATTTCTCTTACAAATAGGCGGGGCGGGCAATATCTTATCTCGCCAGTACGTTGATTAAGTTTGATAATAAACAACTGTTAAAAGAATAGGAAACATGCAATAAGGGTATTCCAGACACCTTGAAGTGCTGTTTCACAAACAGAGGTCAGAAAAAAATAACAGCTACTCTTACTGAGGTTGCATGTCACAGCTTAATAGTTTCACTTGCCACTTTATTGTCACCATCGCGAGGTCAAGAACCTTCTTCGATAACTTGAAGTGTGTTAAGCAGAGCCCGTTGTCTTTTACTGTTGACCGTTATATATTCAGCCACAAGGCAATACTAAAAGTGATTAAAATCCAAAGGCTATCAGGTCAGATCATGTAATGTTTTAAAGCGTCTTGGAGATTCAACCTGTTTCTTTTTAAATTTTACATGACAACCGTTGTAAATTTCGTGTGAAGGAACACTTTACGCACTTTGTTGGGTTCATTTCTCTTAAAACGGTTTTCCTTTCACTTGTCAATTCTCCACCTTCTTACGTCTAGGTTCAAAGACGGCTTTAGTCAATGTAAGCTGCAAACGTTTTATCCCAAAGACCGAAGGAAATCAGGTTAAAATATAGCTATCTTACCGTTTCGCATAGCAAGTCAGAGCTAGGATTGTTTAATCCGTTAATGAGGTTGTTTGAGCTGTAAATATAGAACGACGGTGTAGCCATTTGAACTCCTACGGCAGACTTTTTAGCCAACAATGATAAACAACTTTGAGTGAAGGAACAAAACGAACATTGGCTCCACACTGAGTACAACAAAGATTCTTAGCTTTTAGCAAGCACTGACTCACGCATGGTATTTGTTAAAAACGAGCAAATTTCTGTTCTGCACCCCCTTTACAAACAGGTAAGATAACTGTTATGTAAAAAAGTGCAAAGTTTGCCAAACTGTTACAGAAGGGCTACACTCTGTATAAAATGTTCAGTATGACATGGGGGGAATTCACCTTGTCTTAAATTATTGTTGAATTTCTTGTTGAGGCTATAGACACAGTGAATAAGAGTATAGACAGTGAGAATAAGAATTGGAAAGAAGAGGAACAGAAAAGGAATCAAATTTGCGGCATTACTTTAGAGGAAGGTATATGAAAACAGAACATAGTGTCGGCTCGATATCACTTCCGACCTGTCTGCGGTCGACCTGGCTACTCACTTCGTGCAAGCCAATACAAATTTTCGCTCCTAACCACAACGGAAAACTGCTTCCCAAAAATCGCAGGGTTAGCATAGTTAGAATTCTGTACTTACCGCATGCCTTGCAACAAATCTCTCCCTGTAGCTAGTAAATCTTGAATTCCTTGATATCACGACTTCGATTAAGTTGAAACTTGTCAATTAATTTTCGTGTTCAAAAAATCCCTGGTTTTCGCTGTTCCTTTGTCGGGTCGCCAGATTGTCGCTTTCCCAATCAAAAGACTGTTGTTGATTTTGTTTCCTTGAAATAAACATTTGCGAATATTTCAAAATATTTCTACCCAGCTATCCGCATATCTCTTTCATGACAAATTGCTAATTCTGTGACTTATTATTACAGCACTATTTCCAATATACGAATGACATTTGTTTGACGCTTTCAGTGACGTTACTTATATTGAGGCATTGGAGGCAATCGTCAGGCCATGTATAAAATTAGAAAACTAAAGTATTATTTAGCCAATTACTAAACCAATGACCGGAAAAGGTATTTTCTTAATCAACTCAAAATTAAGCGAGACTGCAGATTAATTTTGACTTTGTTTTTGAATCCTAGTTTTGGCATGTTTGTGTCCGGGGGGGGGAGGGGAAAGGGTGACTAGTCAGAAGGAGTAGGGAGGTGTAAATGAAAGAATTCAACACCCAAATATCTTTATGGTAGAAACGAATCTCCCAATCCAAACCCTTAACATTTTCAAAATCTTCAAAATACCCATATATTAGTATCAATGTCGTTATATGCTAATTACTTACTCAAAAAAAAATATTAAAGAGGTGTGTTGCGAAAAACTGTCTTAGTGAACAGTCTAGAACCAGAAGTCATTCCGCAGTCGTAAGTTAAAGCATACTATCCCAGGCGACAGTCCTTTCACGCTCATTGAATAAGAGATGGAGAAATGTTCTGCGCAGAGAAGTTCAATGTTAAATATGGCCTGAAGACCCGAAGCAATTGCCAATACCCGAAAGCAAAGCCTTAAACTGAAACTAGCAAATCCTAGAAAATTGAAACGAAGGGCTTCACGGAAAGGCGACAATGAAGTGGGTTAGGCTGTTAAGACAGAAGAGCTTAAGCACAGACGTTTTTGAGCCACAGACGTCAACCGGAAGTTTATGTTCTTGCTTTTAGCACGTTTTCATGCCCGACCAATGAATTACAAAGCTTTCATTTGAACATTTACAACTTGACATTTTCAATGAAAAGGGAGTAATACGCGTCGAAGAGGAAAAATTTCGACCTCCGGTTGACGTCCGTGGCTCAGCCAAAAATGTCTGTACTTAAGCTCTCCATATTGTAATTCAGGCCAAGGTGAAGGTTACCTCGGCTTTAGGCTGTGAAGAGCTTTACCCTTGTAAAATCTCTGCCTAGGTAATTGACAGAATAGAGTGCTTAAATAAAATATCCAAAAGCTGCCAGCCCTTGAGCGTTAAGACAGGATAAAATACCAAGGATAAAGGCATATGCTAAAGAAGAAACAAAAATTGCGCGGAAGCTGCGCGAGAAAACCCACCCAAGGGATGACAGTCTGAACGTAGACATCCTTTCAGGCTACCATGGGAACAGGGAAACGACAGAGGCGCTAGGGAGGACTTGTGACAAGACAAACTGGAGCAACAGCACCATAACTCCAAAATGATAGCACAAGTTACAAGAACAGGTGTGCGAACTGAGAATGACAACAGCTATTGACCCTTAACATACTGATCAGAAATACTCAAACGTCACAACCAAAATTCCTTTGGACTTCTTCATTTTATCCACCACTTGTTGGTGTTGACTGATGCTCATTGTAACGTCACTTTACAGACAAACTAGGTCTAACTTAGCCTTGTTCGCTTGCATAATTGGTCCCGCAAGCTCTGCTAATAAGTCGGAAGAAATTGTTTACAGTGTCACTGAGATCTAAATGAAATGAGGTTTCAACTCTTGCCGCGCACAACTTTCGATAGAGGGATTGTCCTAGCCTTTTAGTTTTGAAGGCGCACTTCTCGAAACATTTTACCATCCTTAAAACCTCGCCCTCAACGCGGTGTAATGTCATACGCCAATAAAGTTGCTTAATGATCTCCTTGCTCCGAGGGAATTTTCTTCCGGGTACTATTTGCGGTTTTCCCAGTTCCCTCCACAACCGGCACTTTGCCGCCGCAAAAGTGCGAGTACTTAATTTGATGTTACACAACAAAAATAACTTGTTTACTTGTTACCATAGGAACTAAGTATCTAAATCGAGGCAGAGAAGTTCCAAAAAAAATATTCAATATTGTTTCCCTGAATTATTTTTAAAAGTATCGACTTTATAAGGCCTATGTTTTGTTATCTTATTTTAAGCGCCGTCCGTCGAACTTGTTTTTAAGTTACCCAGGATTATCGTTTTTGAATATCCTTAAATTTGCAAGCTTTTGTTTTCAAATATTTATCAGAAGGGGATTACCTCACCTTGCCAATCGCAATTGTATTTTCCTTTCTATAAACGCCGTTATTTTGCGTCACGGGTCAGTTTGTTTTGTCTATCTTAACTTTTACGCAAATCAACATGATTTATATTTTAGCGAAGCGCGGTGGAGAACGATGGTCAGGTTTTAAAGAGTTTCTTTTCGAAAATTCACTGCGTCGAGCGTTTTCTTCACTGCTTAAGAGTGTGTCTACACGGGTCATGACTTCAACGCGGAAAAATCATTAGTCATACGAAAAGCTCGCGGCATCTTTTAGCTCACAAATATCTCGCTCTAATGAAAACCATTTGGTTCAATGCATCACAACAACGACTCGACAGGTGTTAAGCTCACGCTCTGTGAATCTGTTTATTTAGACTGGCGGGAAATGGTGTCTCTTGTTTTGAAATCATCTGCATCAGCGGGCAAGCACTAGTGTGCCTTGTAGCCTACGCGCTTGATTACCACCGCGTTAAGATCTCCATACCACAAGTCTTTCGTAATGGTGTTCCGTGTGCTCGTTGAAGTCGACAAAAAGGGTCACTGCTTTGCTAAGACACTGAAACAGTCTCCTCCATGCCTGGATTTCTCGTCTGACCTCTGCCGTGCAGTGCTACGAATTCATGCTAACACAGCCTTTTTGTGTTCGGGCTCCTTTAGTACTGTCCTTCAGATGGTGAGGTTGTTTTTGTTTCGTCTGGGCTCACTACTCGGTTTATTCGCTTTGCTTGTCTGGGAAGCATTTTACAGACCAAACGGAGACAACTTCGCAGGTAAACACAACAGAGAAACAAAAATAATCTACAAATATTATGTCTTTATATACACTCTCTTGCCACTGAACAACTTTTAAAATCATGTGAATTGCACATTTTTGCAGGAAATAATTTCAAGCGCCACAATGCATACAGTTTCTCGGAAAATATTTGGAAGGTATGTTTCCGTGTATCTCACAATGTATCAAATTAAAACTCTCTCCTGTAATTCCCTTGTATTCTTATTTCGTGAAATTAAATCAGCTACCATTTGTAATTTTGAAACGGGTATCACACACGCCCGTTTTAGCTAAACTTCATATTCGCTGTTCAGCGAGGCTGATTTTTTTTTTGTCTCAACACGACTCGGATTAATGATTCCAGTCTGGTTCTGCAGTCATATTACCTATCGACGCTTAAAACTTATCTTCTCATGCGTTTGAGATTTTAATGTCTGTGTGCTATAAAATTTAAGTCGTTTACCGGAAAAATATCTGACTCTTTTAAAATGATCAACAACAGATTCTCCTAAGAGTCTCGAGGAATGACGTAACCATATTATCCTTAGTGTTCGAGAAAAATAAACTTCGCTCAATAAAATTCTGGCAATTCTATTAGACTACGATTATTCCAATTTGCCCTCTTTTTCTCGGATTCTACGCGCTCGCTTTTTTTTTTTTACTTTCTTCTCGCGACTTATAAAAACTAAAGAAATCAGTAAAGGAAACCCTGATCTTTATTTTATCAACCTAAAAGACGGGAGTTTTAGAAAAAAAAAAGCCATCGATCAAAGTCTTTCTGATAGTTAAGGCGAAGACTTATATTGTCTTAAAAAATAATTGTTTATACTTTTATCTGTGCGTCTGTCGAATTATGGATGCGAGTGGAAAGTTTGGAGCGCATGAGAGAAGTTGGATTCGCTCTCGGTTACGCCTCTTAAGTTTCATTCGTACTCTCCGATCCAAATTCGCTCGTACATCCATAACCTTTCAGACGCGCGCTAAGCATGAACCAGTTCTTAACTAAAACTTGGCTTCATCTCATTTTCCGTCTCCATTTTTCTTCCAGAGCGATGACGAGACACAAGAGCTACGGAAAAAGAATCTTATTGACTACTGCCATAAACGAGACCCAAAAGAGCTTTTACCCCCACACACAAGCAATGAAATCCCCGCTTATTACTTCAGGAACATTATAGTAAGTGACCGCCATAAACTGTTGTACTGTTACATTCCCAAGGTAGCATGCTCGAACTGGAAACGAGTGCTCATGGTTATGAACGGTGACGCTGCTGACCCGTGGAACATCAAGACCGCAGACGTACACAATCGTAGTTTGGGATATTTTCGTTACTTGAGCCAGTACTCTCCCGAAGAGATCGTACACAGACTTAGCACTTATTACAAGTTTCTGTTCGTGCGACACCCGTTTGAGCGACTTGTATCAGCGTACAGAAACAAGTTTATAGACTCGTATAATTTGACGCTCTTCAAAGAGATGTACGGAAGGCGCATTATAAGAAAATACCGCCATAACCCGGACGTTAAGTCCTTAGAGACAGGAGAAGGTGTGAGTTTCTCAGAGTTCGTGGAGTTTATTAACAATTCTGAGCCAGATCTTATGGACTGGCATTGGAAACTTTACGACATGTTATGTCACCCTTGCTTAATATACTATGATTTTATAGGAAAGTTTGAGAATTTATACACAGAAGCTGACCAACTGCTCCGCATTCTTCAAGTGAGCGAGGACGTGCAGTTTCCACAGAACAAGAGTTCGCGGTACCGGCTTCCCACAAAAGTCATAGCAAAGGAGTATTTCAAATCGCTGTCTCCACAAGCGAAAGAACAACTATACAACAAGTATACGCACGATTTTGAGATGTTTGGCTATTCGATGAAAGACTACTTATAAACAATTGAGAAAAGTGTTTTAATCTTCATACAGTGCCTACTAAAAAGCAAAGTCGATATTGGTAAATTAATTTAGGACTTCAGCAGATGCTTCTTCGCCAATAGCCAGCAACGTGGAAAAGCACGTGAAGACCGCGTGACTGACGATTCCAGTTCTTCGCCACTAGCCAGCCACGTAGAAAGCACGTGAAGACCGCGTGACTGACGATTTCAGTTCTTCGCCACTAGCCAGCCACGTGGAAAGCACGTCAAGACCGCGTGACTGACGATTCCTTCTTCGCCACTAACTAGCCACATGGAAAGCACGTGTAGATCGCGTGACTGACGATTGCATTCCACGAAGTCATGTGATGGTCACATGGCTGAGTTTAATTCCACGAGGCAACGAACCACTGAAGGATATATAGAGAGGTTAAATTGACCCCGACCACGATGTGAAGATTTCTGCTTGACTTCAACCTTCGGCACAGTTCTCACAGAACAAGAAAGTGTTTCACACGCCCTCACCTTTGCGGTAAAAGGTAAAGTTCAAAATTCCAACAAAAAGAATCTGTCTTGTTGCTCAATTTTTATAACCTACTTACGATGTACCAGTCGAGACAACTATAACCGAGCAAAATAACAGACAGAAAACGTTGATCGAACGTAAGTTGCTTGTATGACGTCGACTTTCCAAGACTGGGGAGACGTTACAATAAACGCGAGTGACCTTTTTACCCAGAAAACATGTTTTACAAACAGAAAATGACTGACAAATGAAGATGTACAAAGGACAGACAAATTATTTGAACGACTGGCAACAAAAAGATACGATGTTGAGTGTGACTGAGACGACTAACCTGATGCCTAAGTTGTAAACTTTGCTTAACGTACGTGACATTTGACTCAGTGGCTACTGAACTAATGCAGTCAAACACTAATAAACAATACAAAATGATGCAAAGCAAACACAAACATGGTACAGTAGTGTCGGCAATCCTTGATTGCAAATTTGTTGGCATTGTTTACTTGCAACTTTTTGGTCTAACCAAGCATAACCTGAAAACAAACTTCTTGTTTTCTGAATAGTTCGTGAGGTAGGTAATGTGTGTTGTTCTTCTCTCCGTTCTTGGTACTCAGGGCAAAGAGGTTTTTATTACGAATTATGATTGGGCCGTTACTGCAGCGGACCAATCACCAATAAGATAAGATTACTTTGGCATTGATATCGCGACAGCCATCAGAAAACCTCTGTTCCAAGCTCGACAAAAGTTCAACCTAATTACAATTCAAAAATGACGCAACTAAGATGAGTCTGATAAGCAATCTGATGACGCGCCAGACTCTAACATAGATCTTTAAGATTGACTGTAAACGACTCCGAGCTGCTCTCCACCAAGAATCTTGCTATGTTTAAAATACTGACAATAAGAATATAACAATACAGTTTTGTTATTTTAATGATTATTGTTATGATCAGGCGACAAACTGAGTATTGAAGACAGCTATACAGTTATTAAGCACCGTATATACATTTTACCGAACAATACTTAACTGATATGAAACTTTAACCGGGTTCAAAACACGACATGACAAACAAGATAAACTGATGCCAAACAGGACAGAACTGGTTTCAAAGAGGATTAACCTGGTGACAAACAAATTACGTAGTGACGTATAAAGTAAACCTGATGACAAAGAGGAAAAACCTGTTGACAAATAAGATACAGCTGACAAGAAAATGAATACAACTAATGAAAAACAAGATAAACCGATGACAAACACGATTAACTTGGTGACTAACGTTAACGAGATACCAGGTACACTACTTGACAAGAAACAAGACAAACATGATACATTTGGGGACAAACAAGACAAACATGGCGACGACAGAAAGCCGGGTAAACAAGGTACGCTTGATAACTCGATGACAAACAAGACAACCCTGATGACAAGCAGGATAAACCTGACAACAAACAAAATTAACCTGATGACAGACAGAATAAAACTAACAACGACCAAAACTAAGCTTGCTGAAAAAAGCAACCTAATAAAAGCGAGACAATTGTGATGCCAAGCAGGAAAGATGTGATGATCGAGAAAAAAAGTTGGATAAACCAGATGACAAACACAATAAACCTGAGAACAAACAAAAGTAATGGCAATCAAAACAAACGTAATTACAAAAAGAAGCTGATTAAAACAGGATCAGCCTGAGGTCAAACAAGGTAAACCTGATCACACAGAGGATAAACCTGTTGACAGACAAGATACACTTGATCACAAACCGGGTACACCATGACAAGAAACACAATCAACAGGATGACAAACAGGATATATCTGGTGACAGATAAGACAAATCTGATAGCAGAAAGGATAAATATAATGAGGAACAAGCTTCACCTGATATCAAAGGGTAGGATACACCCAATGAAAACAAGCTTCATCTGGTAACATGATGACAAACAGGATAATCTTGAAGACAAACAAGGTACACAATCAACCTAAACATAATGACTCTTGACAGACGAACGCTAGTGACAAACAGGATAAACATGCTAACTAACAAGATACACCCGACGGCAAACAGGATCAACCGGTTGACTACCAAGATACATCTGTTAAAGGTGCACCTGAACACAAACTGGATAAATCTAATGTAAATGTAAATCTTATTTATAGAGGTCAAGCACTTAGCTATTCCAGCACTAAGCTTAGGTAGTTTACAGGCATGCCACTGAAACAAAGGAAACAAATTTTTCATACAAACGAAACATAGTTAAAAATCCCAACTGGCAGGAGGCAGACCAGTTGGCTATTTACAAAGCGTGACCGAGGATTTGAACTCGGGACTACCGAGAAACAAATCCCGCTAGTGACAGGGTGGAGACCTTGAACTCGGGGCCCCCAGTTTACAACACCAGCGCCCTAAACCACTTGGCCACACTGCCTCATATGTATCTTGTTTGAACTGATGTCAAACAAGATACATATGAATACAAACCTGTTGACAAACAAAATGAGCGTGACGACAAACAGGTAAACTTGATGACAAACGAGATAAACGTAATGACAAATAAAATACACCTGATGGCATAGCGTGCAAGCGAGTTAACATAACGGAACATTTAAGTTGACAAACGAACATTCGAATGGGCTGGTAACTGAGCTGGTAAACAACGTCACGAAAATTTTAGTCGAAAGGCCTTGTGCATGGGATAGACTTTATCTCGCAAGCCGAAGCAGTTTGTGTTTTAAATGAAAAGGGTGTTTGTGCTTAAAACGACGAAAAATTACTCACTTTCTCACGGGCGTATATATGTTTTATCAACGCATGACGGTGTATTCCGATATTTATTAGCATTTTTTATCATTTAACAGACTAACAATTTATTTTTCATTGCGTATATCAAGTTTAAGCATGAGCTTTGTACACCTAGTACAAGCATACAGACTAACAATGCATGTGACACGGCAAAGAACCAGCATAAAGCAATAAAACAAGGCAAAACCTCACTCGTAGTTGACTTATGGAACTTGCATCTTACCCTTACAACCAACAAGCTGATTACAACACTGACAAACTGACTTGCGAGATTCTGGCTGATTTACATATTTGCTTGCTCTGGTATGTAACGTACAGGCTGACTGATGACTAACAGACTAACAGTAATAAGCGCTTCCTTTCTCCGTGACTAGGTGGCTCACAAAGTATATTCTTAGTCAATGACTTACAGGCTTGAAGGTAGACTTACAGACCAAACACGGGGCTGGCTTCAGTACTTGCTGACTTGTTCACAAAGGTACTGACTGACTGGGAAAAAACGTACTGATTGACTGCTTTACCGATCAGTTGACTTACTCAAACACTGACTGACTGACCGACTGACCGACTGACAGACTGACAGACTGACAGACTGACAGACTGACAGACTGACAGACTGACAGACTAACAGACTGACAGACTGATTGGTTGACTCTGACAGACTGACTGACCGACTGACTGACAGACTGACTGACTGAATGAATGAATGAATGAATGAATGAATGAATGAATGAATGAATGAATGAATGACTAATTGATTGACTGATTGATTGCCTGATTGACTGACTGACTGACTGACTGACCGACTGATGGATTCATTGATTGGTTGATTGATTGATTGATTGATTGATTGATTGATTGGTTGA